GATTGTGGATTCACGCTTCCCGTGTGCACTCCAAAGGTGTGGTGGAAATCATAGGGGGTGACATATTTTCGCTCATTCAAAAGCTCATTGCCAACCAATTGTATTGGCAAGCATATTCTAGTGCTAATGAGCTACTCTGCTAATAGTTGCGCTTTTGGCAGAATGGAGCAAATAAGCGGCATTGAGGGAATACCCTCCGAAATCCTACTTTCCATGCCCAAGAACAAGGAAAGCATTGAACATACCGTTCAAAGGCCACAGCTTGAGGGTGCCGCTATTCAGGGCATTTTGGGAAGTGGGAGTTTTGGGCCCCAAGGTTTCCAAGGGAAAGTTCTTGTTTTGGACTCCCCACGGCACTTGGAAACCTCTCCTTTCCTTTGAAGTACTGAAAGGGGATTATTCATGACTTATTGGAGTTATTAGGAGTGTTCCCCCTTGGCTCTGGTACGTGGGAGAGGAGCTGGAGCTTGTTCAGCTCCATGTGGGATAGCCTGGAGCCACAAAAGCTTCTAGGCTTGATGGGACTATAAAGTGGCGTACATGCACCACTCTGTAATTCCATATTCCGTTTCTCGCGATCGTGACTGATCCTTGCCCACTCCGGGCGCGCCCCCTCTGCGGCACGCCCCACCTCGCTGACCATCCACCGTACTACCTCATCCGAGGCTCCCCGCAGGCCGCGTACCCTGGGCCCACCACGCGGAATGAGCAAGCAAGCGCCCCGACTATGCGCGCTTGGCCAGCGTCTCCGAGCCGGGCGTAGGGGGATCGATGCCCGAGGCATCTCCCCGCTGGGCGACTGCGAGCGACCGAGGAGCGGACCGGCCAGATCCTTGGCTGAATGCGGCGAGAATTGAGCGCCGCGCCAAAAGGGGGCCATTTGAATTGCATCAATGGCCTTTCCTTCAAGATGGTTTCGGAGCGTCGAGGCAAGTTCTAGGGCAAGACGATGGTGAACAAAGTGCAGGCAAGTCCCCAAGAGCTGTTTGGGGCAGTTTGCACGTTGATCGACTCGGAATTCAGTCAGTAATCGGCCAGAGTGTCGGACGGGTGGAGTTGCAGAATTTGCAATTGAGTGAGATCTGCACCCGGCGAAGCACGGTTGAGGGCTGGGAGATGGCGGGGGATAGCGCAGCAGCATCTTTAGGAAAGCTCGAGGCTGTTTGGATGGTGATTGACCTGTCGGTCGGTGGCCATTGCCCAATTTAGCGATCGGGCGCAAGTGAGAATTCCACAGATTGACCATGTCTGCGGCTTGCAAGCGACATCCTAACGGTGTGCAACGGTGGCAAATGAGCGGCCAGACTTCGGTGGGCAGCAAGGAGCAATTTGCAAGCATTTTGTGGTAATGGCAAGTGTGGGTCATTGGGTCGGCGCTGGCTCAAAACAGCCTTTCGTGCAAAATGTCGGTAACGTCCAAAAGGCTGCACTTGTGCGCGACATCGTGATTATGTGTTTTTTGGGCAAAACGGTTGTGCTCAAGATTGGCTGTCAAAAAACAAGGAAATTTGTGCACAACATCGCCATTTCTGAGTGCACAAAAAGAGAAGAGGATGCATGTTCTGTTGTTTTCCCTGACCCCCTTACCGACATTTTGCACGAAAGTTAGTTTCAACATTTTGTAGTGAGGTGGTGTTTCGGTGAGCCATGGATTTTGGCGAAGGACTACGCAATGTGTGGCTGGCCAAGGAAGTTTGCAGCATGGCTCAAATCTCTACACGAGCTTCCCAGGACATGGCTATGGCCGACGCTTTAAGTGAGGGTAGTGTCAAGATCTTGAAGTGGCCCAAAGCGGCAGCTGATCATAGGGGGCAGAGCTGCAGTGGATTGGAGTTCTCCCCCACCGATTGGGCTCATCAATTATCGGACGTCAGGCCACATGAGGTGGAGGTACACCTACTAGAACTGCATTTGCGTACAGGGATACAGAGGTGATGGATTCTGTGGGTATTGAGGCTGGTGAAAGCACGCAAGTGGACCCAAGGAATTTTGATTTATGAATTTATCATGATGGGACAACTAGTTGCCTGGGGATTCTGATGGTATGATTGTTTTATGAAGAAGCTTGAAAGTGGCTTGGTTAGTGCCAAGATTACTGTGATGATGAATGCTTGTTGGTTTGCCACTTATTGAGATTTTACTCTATATATTGATGTCTCTTTCCAACAATAGAGATCATTTATTTGGTGGTTTTCTAGATTTCAATCCATGTGTTGATATCTCTTTCTAGCCATGGAGAGAATATATTTTAATAAACCTGAGGAACATGTTGGGATGTTTCTTTCCCTAGCATGAGGTTGTGCCGGTGAGTTGCCCAACCAGCCTATCCTTTGGTGTTATACTCATTCAGAAATAGAGTGCCAGCTCATTGGAGAGAAAGTCTACCATGTCCATTGCGTGCGGCGGTGGGTATGGGACCACTGTCGATTAGGTGTTAATGGGGGAGGTGCTAGGAGATAACAGCGGGAGTGGTAACAAGGGATGTTTAGTGATCATGTTGTGGTGTGCCACGGGATTGTAGGTGGTGCATTGATTATGGCAAATGGTTGATGTTGACTATTTATTAGGGTCCTCTTGTTAGAGGAGACTATGGGCCCACCAAAATTCGGAGTGTCTCGCAAATGGAAACGTGGGAAAGGCCATGTTTGCAACACCGTATAATGACCACCATTTCATTAGGTGGATCATTTATGCATTGTGGTGTGCAACTTGTATGCATGTCAACAATATGGTTTATATGCAAGGGATTCTGAATCTATAAAAAGAAAAGAAAAACGTGTTTTAGGATTCACAGAATTATTGTGGTGATGAGTGGGCAACTTTAAAGTGTCGTATGGCTGGCCGTTGGTGGATGATGATTGTTGTCATATGAAAAGAAGAGATCTGTGGGTGCAAGAAGATTTGAACTGTTCGGTTGCGGGGGTCGATGCCACCGTCGGCAACGCTCTTCATTGTGGGAAGGGTGAACAAATATGTAAGCCTAGGGCGTTTTTTGTGTGGTGTGGCTTGCGTCTAGCCATGTGCCAACCCATTGAGACATCGGTGATCGTGGATTTGCGCTTCCCGTGTGCACTCCAAAGGGGGCCGTTTGAATTGCATCAATGGCTTTTCCTTCAAGAGCAGGTATCATGGCCCACCACTTGAAATTTGACTTGAGTGTTTATGCTTTGACTGCGACTCCATTCCTGATTCCCTTGCCATATCTCATTTCGCCTGTGGGTAAGGAGGCGACCGCTGTGCTACCCGAGCACCGGGACCACATTCGTTGCCTATCAACCCCGTTGAGAAGGCTGGTCTGGCATCTACGGCTCTGGACACGGCAGAGTTATGCAAGTAGATGCCATACAAACCCTCCAGGATCGTTCATGCTGAAACACTAGCAAGTCATCTCTAAATCCAGCTGCTCATCGTTGATGGCGGCATGAGCCAAGCTGGAATGGAACGCTGCCTTGCACTTTGCTGCTTCAGAAAATCTGTGTTTGCTGCTAAACGGCGTTGCCATCCCTCAATCGAGGTGCTGCGTGAATCAATGACCTGTGTTGTTTGTGAAGTGAGCCATCGCCTGATTACATGTCAGTTAGCTACCATGAACGATGATCGACATGTAATCTAAGCCGATAAAAGCTGAGCCGGTTGGTGGAGACATGTTGGCTTCAATGATCAGCCTCGTTTGCTCACGAACGCTGAATTGATGTGCCTCGCTTGGGCAACACCCGCGTGAGGAGGCGAAAGGCTTGGATTCCCATATTAGTAAGGCAGCTGCAGCAGCTCACCCGCGCTAATGGGCAGCTGCCATGGAGGCTGCTTTAACATACACACATAGACCGAGTGACATATATCGAGTGACTCGATTTTTGTGATTTTTGTGATTCTTCGTTGTCATCATGGCGTCATCAGGCATCGCCACAACTATCACCACTTGTCCATGCCAAAATACTAAATTGGTGTATGGTGTGACGTCACCTAGTTGGACGCCATATGTCAGTGAAGTGTCACTCATTTGAGCGAAGCGACCAAATGACTGGCAACGATTATCACAAATATAATGTTGACAATGTTTGCAAAGATATGCCAGCTGAAACATGCCCACCATACTTTCACTGCATTTTCAGCTCAGCAGCCAGCCTGAAACTTCAGCAGCGAGGCTTCGAACAGTATCCAATACGAACAGTACCCTTTGTGTCAACCACAGGCACAAAGAGATATTCTGTTCACAGGGCTGGTAGGAACGCACGTCGGGCATTCCATCCCAACTTCCCGTAGGCATATATGAGGAGTTCATAGGTTAATCCCTCTCATGGGCACAAGACTCGTTTCTCCGGACAAAACATCGGTTTTCTTATCGAATTACAAGAGCCATTTTACACCCGTTGAAGTTTCTGTCAAGATGTCCCCATTAGCCACAGGTTCCTGCAGATGCAAGGCAAGAATGAGCTATAACGACACAGCCTCACAGCATAGGCACTGTGACACCAGCAAAGCAGACATCTGGAAAGACAAGCTTGTGTCGATCAATGCACGGAGAACCCGTCATTGTGTGATCAACATCATGATCATGGGTTCATCTGCCACATCCCATCAGTACGATTTGCCTATCTGGCATTGAACCACGAAATTCTGCTTCACTACAACAAAATATAGAGAAAACATGTTCCGTGCCCCCATCGACTAACAACTTGATGCTCCCTACAAACTGCAAGGGTAACCTAGAACACCCACATACTTGAAAATGAAAAATACTCACATTTTGAAAATGAGAAGTACTGACAATCTGGCAAAGGTCCCAAATTTGTAGGGGCAGTTTACAAGGCACGAGGCCAGTGGAGACGCCTTGACTTTGCATACCTGGCCCAATAGGTGCATCCATTCCTGACTGACGGCTGTGAATGCAAATGCGAATCACCCTGGTTCTTGGGATAGAATAAGGTGCACAGAAATACGTTCGGTGGGGCAGTAAGAAAGGCGACAGTGGATGAGTTGGATCTACATGCATGCGTGCCTTAAGTTTCCTCGACCTCCTCAAGAGCATAGTTGTTGGTGTTCACACCCATGTAGTTGACGCTGTCAAAGCGCACCACCACTGGGTAGCGAATTCCGGTCTGTGCACAACAGGTGTAATTGGTCGTCAGACACATCAGGCGAAGACCAATTGGGCAAGGCAGATGCTGTGCAACTCCATCTTGCAAGTGGTGGACATTTTGGCCATTCGAAGGCTGCAAATTCCCTCATGTTTGTGCCACTACTGCAGAGAGCTGGTCCTCAATGAATCGCAGATGAAAAGGCGTTCCTTTGGCATATGAACATAAACGCAATTGAACCTGGCAGGCATGCTTCTGAGCCTGAGGTGTCTAGCAATGTCCACTCATGGTGTTGAGCGCCAGAAGAAAATCGGAGGCAGCCCGCTCACCTGATCCACTGACACAACCTTGCCCACTTTGTTGTACCAGTACGACTCTGGGCGCAGAATCTTCACCTGAACAAGCCAAGCACACTCCCTCACCAGGGCTGGACCACGACCAACGGCACACAAGCCATCACGCTCCCCACGAGCGAACAGCCCCTCACCTTGGTGCCCCTCTTGGGTCCGATGGGCTCTCCCTCCTTGCCATCTGGCTTGGCGGCCCTCACGACCAGGTTTTTTCGAGACCAGGCAGCTGCAAGTTCAATCAACCGCCAATGCACGTTCAGGCGCCAACCATCCACACGAATCCAGACACACACCCATTGGCCCCTACATCCCATTGAACCAACGCCCACAAAATGCGCGCCAAGATGCAGCTCCGCCGGAGCCGACCATCACGCACGCTCTGCAGCGACGATCCAACCAGACGGTTCGGCCATGGACGCAATATGACCACCCGCGTCCCAATCCTCATCTCGCTGGCCTCACCTTCGGTGGCAATGCCGCCCCTGACGTTGAGCTGCGTGTGCGACAACATGGCGGTCTGCAGCTCGCGGCCTGGAGACGCGCGCCCGTCGCTGTGTGGGTGCTTCGACTGGCGTCGGGGAGGCGTCCGATCTCGAAAAAGAGGACTGGCAGGGCTGTGATCTCCGCGCGGGGCCCAGCCAGACGATGCTGATGGAGATGCTCCACATCATCGATACCAGTCCGAAACTTGGAACCAGGGTGACACAATGTACGGCTGTTCAGACCGTATCCCTGGTCCCCGTGCAGTAGTGCGCTGTGGACTCTACAGTGGACGCCACTGTAGACTCTGCTGTGGACGCCTGCCTTCGAGGCTGCTGATTGGCCGGCGGCTTGGCACCTGGGAGCGTGGCGGACGTGCGACCCAGGCGCGCTAGACCGCGACCACCACACGGACAGCCGCAAAGGGCGACATCCCTCCTCTGAAGCGGTCCGCCAGGGGCGCTCCGAGGCGACCAATTGGGTCTGCCGCTGTCACCGGCCCAACGGCACATGGTCTTGCACAGGCTGCGTCCCTCGCAGGGTGAGCCAACCAAATAACGCGAGGTTCACCTTGCAGAGGCGGGTGACAGAGGCCCGAATGGTGTCCCTGGACTGCAGCCTTCAGAGGCTGCGGCGTTCATGTGGAACACCTTCAGCGCTTTGCTTTCACTCGGCGACCGCAGATCATCCCTGCTGTTGAAAAATTGCTTGTCGGCCTCGCACCTTGCCCAACAGCCAGTCTTGGTGGCCTCTGACGATGCTCGCGTTGCCCTTCCGATCACAGAGCTTCAAATCGCCGCGCTGAGGGGCGCCAGGGGCGCCAGGGACGCCAGCACAACGCAGAGGTTCTCGCGGTTGTCAGTTGCCCAGAGGGTCAGTGCCAAAGCGCCACAGCGTCCAGGGCGGCCCACAAGGTCTCCATATGTCCTGGTTACCTGGGCCGGCAAAGTTCATACCTCTTCTCAGCGTGCTCCACGAGTCCTTCGCCTGCCTGGCGTGTGGCGAACGTATGTTGGATGCGCTGTTCTTCAAACGACTGCCTTAAATGTGTGAAAATGCAAAAGCATTATGCTTGCAAGCTTCCAATTGGAAGCGTGACGCAAATCACCATGAAGGTTTTGCCAATTCCAGAAATCTCGCTGACGAAAGGCAGTGCAAGGATGCAACCGCAACAAAGCAAAGACACGCCTGCCTTGCGAATGATCATCACAAGCCAGCGCTATGCCATCGTAATCATGTAATTGGCAAAGATCATCGCAAAATGGCAAGCACACCATCGCCTTCTGGCTCACGATTCTCAACGACATTGCAGTACGGCAGAAAATTGCATGCGCATCATTCCGGGGTGATGGCAAAGAGGGATGCGCCTACGACGATGTGCGTGTATTGTTTGGAAGACATTCCAAGGGCGGTTGAGCCGGTGCAAGCAAAAATCGATCTCTCAAGCAGAATGGTGGCGTAGAGAGCCACTGGCAAGCAAAAATCGATTTTTCAGGTGCAAAGGTGCAAGAGCGAATCACTGGGAGAAGGGCGGCGCACTACCAAGCATTTTCGGGGGCGAAACCGTTGTTTGGTGTTGGTTGGGATTCGGATATGACATTAACTATCTTGTTAATAGATTTCCACCCAGGACGACGTTGGGTGGGTTGCGCCGAGTTTTGAATCGGGCGCAATCGTATTCAAACGGGTTTCTGGCCCTTCCTAGTACCTTGGGTCAGTCAAAGTACGGAGGGTCCAAGGGTCCGCCCGTTTTGGCGGCTTGGACTTGGCGGGCTTTGGCGGGGCTGAGCGGGGGCGGCTATTTAGGCTCCCCCTCGGTCCCCCTTCTATCTTGTTTCACTTCGCGCCACTTGTTGGCACAACCCGAAGGCACCGAGTGCCTTGCCCTCCCCGGCCGTTTTGGCCGAGTTCTTTCTATGAACCGGACACCTGCAGAGCATTGGCTGCAAGAACCAGCCGTCCGGTTCAACGACGGTCCGCCTACGGCTTCGCTCGACGCTGTCTGGCTCCCGGACCCCCGGCTCCTTCCGCGGTCAGTCACCAACCCGGTGGTCCGACCTCCAGGTGTCCGCTTTCCAAAGTGGTTCGATGTGCGGCGGACTTCCGAAGGCGCGCAACTTGCGCAGGCGCTTGAGACCAACTCCGGCTACTTTCATGAGTACCAGAACTGGGTGCCCTACGTCGCGTGTATGACGTGGCTACTTGGGGTCAGGCAGTTATTGAGGTTTTCTGGAGTGGGAATTACGTAATTGGCCAAATCGACCTTTTGTGAGTGTTATTAAGAGCTTCCTGGTTCCAACGAGCTTTTAAACGCCCGATTCCATTAAGAATTGACGAAGATATGGCCTTCTGAAGTCACAGTACTTAGGGCCAGGGGGTCGGGTGTGAGATGCTTGGAATTAGAGGACATTGGGTCGATCGTAGGTGAACGGTGGACGGTGACGATGTGCCCGGACGCGCACTTGTGTTGTCTTGTCTTGATGTGACCGCGATGGACCCGCTGACGTGGGCATCAGCAGATGCGAGATGTATGCTGCAGACGCTGCACTTGCATTATCCTTGGCTCCACCTTCGGGTTTCCCGCCATGTAGCTGGCCAACCACCATTCCGTCAAGGCCACTTTCGCCGACAAGAGCCCCTGGGATCGATCCTCGCCGAAAGCATTGGGCCCACCGCTGACCGCCGATTCGATCGCCTCGATACGCTTCACCGTCCGTAGGTGGAGAGAGCCGGGTTTACTCTCCACCTCGAAAGTCAGCAGTGGCATGCACTCCCCACGCCCGGGAAACTGGCCAAGGCTGCCGCCGACGGGCTGCGAATAAAGATGGTTTTCGACCTTACGGCTTCTTTTTCATCGATTTCTCAAGGGCGCACTAAGATTTCTCTTTCATCTTTCGACGCCTGTTGCATCTCCACGCCGCATTTATTTGCACAAGATTGCAGAGCCTAATCCGTCTTCAACAAGTGCACGGGGAGCACAAGGGGACGTCCCTCGACGGGTTGTGGCGTGCGCTCCAGATCAACGTTCGGCTGGGCGCAGTTCATCGGCGCTTCTGGGATCCTTTGATCGACGAGCCACTGGAGCACATTCGCAAGGTAGAGGTGGCCACCCGGATCCGTTAATAGCGGACAGAGGTTAATTTCCGTTAATTTTCCGTTAATTAATGGAAAATAACGAAAAAAGACAAAAATTAACCAAAAATTAGTGATGGGGTGGTTCGATGCCTCGATACGCGCCTCTCGATGGCGCCCGGTCGCTGCCAATGGGCAGCCTCTCACACCGAAAGGTGTGGTGTCTCGGGGCGCTCGCTTCCCCTCTCGCTCGCTGTGGTGGGCCCGTATGATCCGAAGATCGCCGGGGTGCGGCACAGGACCCGAAGGCCCGACGGGTCGACTCCTCGCGCTCGGTGGCTGCAAGCGCGGGTGCTGGGGTCCGAAAGCGATTACAGAATGTCAGACAGGCGCGGTTTTGCCACTCCCGCGCAGCGCAGCTGACTCACCCTATATTGGGTGGCCAACACACCAGAAAACGCATTGTATATTGTTATAATGTAGTGTAATTGTTCCGGCAAACCTCCACCAGTCCCAGGAACTCACAACCACCCAGAATACTCCATAAATGAGCAGCCAGGGCCACTAAATTAGCCCCAAGAAACCTGGCTGTAACTACCCCCATGTAATTCCACAACAATTAGTGGATTTTTGGATTTTTTGGGGATTTTTGGGTTTTAGTCATACTTATAGTTTATGGAATTCGCTATTAGAGAGTATGTTGGTATTTTATTTCAACCTATGCATACTAGATTTTCAACTAGCCGCAGTTGTTGTGATTTTTTGGGGTTTTTTTTCGATTTTTTTGGAAATTTTTTCGTTTTTTCTGAATTTTCCCCCTTTTCTTTAACGAAATTTAACGGACAGCTGATAAAAATTAACGAACCGGATTTAACGGACCGGATGGCACCTTTGAGTGGCCACCTCTGTCGCAAGGAGGTCTTCAATCAGCAGTTGAAATTGGCTACCAAGTCGGCTGCCGCCAAGAACCAGGCCAACCTCGATCGCGCCGCCCCGGCTCCCAATCCTGCGGGCGCGTCCACCTCCAGCGGTTGCCACTTCAAGGGCAAGAGTTCCAAGCCGCCGGCGGGCCCAAGCGCTCCATCCCAGGCCCCCAAACCCGCCGCCTAGAGGACCCTCCATACGCTCGTCTTCGGGGCCGTCTCTCCGGGTGGCGCCGCATTGGGGCGCCTTTGCGCGTCTTGCAATGGATCCACACTGGGGCCCCCCTTCAATGGGGCCTGATGGGCCCTCCGGCCCCCTTCGATTAGGGCGAGTATCCCTTGACGACTCCGGAGGAATGGCGAGCATGGCGGGAGCTGCGGGCAGAGGTGGGCCCGTCCAGATTTGGTAGGAACGGGAACGGGAACGGTGTCCGTCCCCGTCCCAGGAACGGATCCGTCCCCGTTCCCGTCCCAGTCCATCCCAGTCCGTTCTAGTCCGTTCCTGGGCCATTCCCAAGGAACGGATTTGGGCCGGATCTGGGCCGGCCAGGAACAGGGTTGGAACGGGTCCGTTCTCATTGTGGAACGGACTCCGTTCCAACAAGAATGGACAACAAAACACAGCAAGGGCTTGCAGCGGCCGGGCGTTGCTAACGATCAAACCCAATTGTTGTTGAGCTACCACATGCCATGGCAAGGGGAGCTGCCGAAATGGTGGACGCCTCTTGCAAGCAATCTTCCCACCATCGGAGGCGGCAATTGATGGCCAAAGCGTGGGCTGAGGCGTGTGCCCACATAGCAGCGAAAGGGGCACCAACATGCCTTCCGTATGTTGTATTGACAACACTTTGGTGGGTAGCTTGCCACACGGCTACCTCCCATCGTGTCCAATTCAAAACGGGAATGGGCAAAACATTACCCGCTCTCAGCGATTCTAAGGGCAAGGGAGCCTTTGGCCTCTCCCCTTCCTCTATTTTGGCCTACGTTGCCCTCCCCTCCCTGCTCCCCCTTTTGTTGACCACCAGCAAGCTAAGAC